ACAATGGTGCGGTCCTGCTGGCTGAAGCCCCCGGTTTTGTTTAGCTTCTGTATGTGTTACAATGTTGCTTAGAGTGCAGCTGAGAGGCCGGCAAGGCAGGCGGGGAACCTTGGCTTCCTCCGTCACTGAAGGAAGCTAGCCTCATGTTCGCTTCAAGCTGCCTGGCTGCCGGCCACCATCTTGGCTGGCAGTTAATTTGCATATCGCCCTGATTAGCCAATGGGAAAGGTAGCAGAGGTATGGCTAATTACCATGTTTCTCTTTTATTAGATAGGATTTTATTTTTTGAGAACCACTGTTTTAAAGGGCTGACTTTAGGAGAAGCAAAAGGATCTCAGGAGAAAGGTCTGATATGCAAGAAAAAAATGGTAAACAAAAGAAAATTGAAAATGGTAAACAAAAAAAAAGGTAAAGAAAATGGTAAACAAAGAAAAGAAAATGGTAACATTCAAGCAAACATGGAATATATAATAAAATAATCTATAATTATTATTGTTTATTTTTAAAGTATTACAATAATATGTAGTTAAAATAACATGTAAACCACAAGGGGATTGATTGGAGTTAAAGCATTTAAATATGCTTACATTGTTTGCCAAGTGGTTAGAGAGATTCTCTTGTTAAATATGCATGATAACATTTAAGGGGAACTCTAAAAGAATAAAAACAGGGTTAGGATTTATACTGCATAGTACACACAAGTCAAAGAGAGATGCCCAATAGGATCTGTTCCTATAAAGCAGTAAATGTAGATATCTAAGATAGTAATAGATTCCAAAGGAGTGAGTACCTTATTTCTTGAAACCTTAAGAAATATCTGTGTGATTTTTTTCCCAGCCGCATACGTTATTACAAAGAGTCAAAGCCTGCACAACAGAAGAGGACCAGGAGAAACTGATGCAAATTACAAGCCTGCATTCACTGAATGCCTTTCTGCTGCCAATTAAAACTGTAGGTGTGCAGGTGAGTTGTGTGAATCCATTGCCCTGTGACATAACTTTCTGCAGATGTTCTTTTCATTATTGTTGAAATAGGAATGATTTAGGGAAATGAAACATGAAAATATGTAAAAAGGTAATGTTTTATATAATATTTATGGAGTGAACAAGATTATAGGAACTCAATATTCAGGCTGGGATCTTGTAGTTTTGGAACATCTGTCATCTGTAACCAAAAGTAAAAATTCAAAGAATGACTTGCTTTAGGGTTTGCTTGCTTGCTTCTGCCTTGAAGGATAGTCACCAAGAGGTCATGTTCTCATTTATCCTTCTTGGTATGAAATGTACTATTGCTTTAGAAGTCTTTAATTGCAAGAAGGCCCCCTGATGAACGTTATACACCACTTAGGTCTCATTCTCAACTTGTGTATTTCTTAAACTAGTGCTCTATTTCTTTTATGTCTTCTCTCTTTTAGCTTTGATAATGTACAAATGACATTTGTGTATTTATTGTTCTGTCTTTTCAATTGTAAAAGCATGTGAGGATCATATAGTTTTTACTTTTATAATGCTATTCATATTCCTATATAATAAAAACATAATATGCTAAGTGTCCGGTTGTCTGGTTGTCTGTTCAACCAATCAAAGTGTAATATGCTAATGATAAGTGAAGGCTGCTCAACCGCTCGCTATGACATACACTGACCACCAGAGGGCAGACAGTCGACCAGTTGGCCAGTCGCTATGACGTGCACTGACCACTAGGGGGAAGACACTCTGACTGGTAGGTTAGCTTGCTGCTGGGGTCCAGCCGATCAGGACTGAGCAGACATGCCCAGGAACTCTCCTGTGATCCTTCCCCGGCTGGCCAACTTCCCACATCCCTCCCCAGCCCCAGTTGTGAACCGGTGAGGTCCCTCAGCCTGGCCTGTGCCATCTTGCAATCTGAGACCCCTTGGGGGATGTTGGAGAGTTGGTTTCAGCCTTACAGTGGAACGACTGGTTTCTGTGATGCACACTGACCATCAGGGGGCTGACACTCAATGCAGGAGCTGCCCCCTGGTGGTCAGTGCGCTCCCACAGGGGGAGCGCCACTCAGCCAGAAGCCAGACTCACAGCTGGCGAGTGCAGCGGTGGTGGCGGGAGCCTTTACCCCCTCTGCGACAGTGCTAAGAATGTCTGACTGACGGCTTAGGCCTGCTTCCCGGGGGAGCGGCTGAGGGACCCCGCCACCCCCTAAGTTTCCGAATTTTGTGCACTGGGTCTCTAGTTAGATTATATTAAGTTCTCCTTTGTTTATATGCTCTTCAAGTGAAGGTTTCTTTTTTGTTAGAGTTTGTAGTAAAATGAAAACCAGAAAAGGTGTCAATAATTTAGCTTAGTGATGTGATTGTCAGATATTGGGATAATGTGTTTATAATGGCCTTGTAGAATAGAATTATGTATGGAAGAAAATGAACTGTTTTAGAGATTATTCACGTAAAACTTAATAAATATACTCTTTTTCCTGAATTTGTTGGATGAGTGACTTTTTAAGAAATGAAGCTTATTTAGACTCCACTACTCTTCCATCAAAATGAAAGTTCTTTTTTTGGTTAGATATTTAACTTTATTCTGGTCTCTTGGGCATTTGGAGAGCCTTGGAAGCCCAGTAAAAATCCTAATTCACGGTTAGTGTAGTAATGAAGTTTATTTTCTAAATCCCAAAGTAAACCATAATTGTGAAAAAAAAAAATCAAAATGCAGTACATTTAAAAGTAATTTTTCCTATTGTTGCTTTCCAGTTGTGTTGTATGTATTCTTCGAGATGGTTATTTTAACAGGACAATAAAGTGAATTACAGATGCACTTTTTTAAACTAAACATAATGAACTTTTCACGCCATTACAGATTATTCTTAACTGCTGGCTTGTATTCCATATATGGTTATATCATACTTTAATCATTCCTTTACATGTGGGCATTTAAATTGCTTTCAGTATTTTAATGTTACAGGCATTTCAGCAGGTAATGTTTTATTTCTTTAAGCAGTTGCTCATGTGCTTCTGTAAGCTCATTTCCTGTTTCCCGGGTTAAAAGCATGTACATTTATTTTATTACTAGAGGCCCGGTGCATGAAATTAGTGCACTTACGAGGGGAGTCCCTCAGCCCAGCCTGCGCCCTCTCGCAATCGGGGGCTCTCGCAGTCAAGGACCCCTTGCTTCTTACTGCCTGCCTGCAGAGGAGGCAGGTGAGGCTCTCGCCAGCTGTGAGCCTGGCTTTTGGCTAAGCAGTGCTCCTCCTGTGAGAGTGCACTGACCACCACGGGGCAGCTCCTGCATAGAGCATCTACCCCCTGGTGGTCAGTGCACATCATAGCGACTGTTCGTTCCGCTGTTCAGTCAGTTTGCATATTAGGGTTTTATTATACAGGGTATGATTTTTATCTTCTTAATATATATCTATATTTATAGACATATATTTTATTGATTTCAGAGAGGAAGGGAGAAGGAGAGAGAGGGATAGAAACATCAATGATGAGAATCATTGATTGGCTGCCTCCTGCATGCCTGCTACTGGGGATCGAGCTGCAATCTGGGCATATGCCTTTGACTAGAATCGAACCTGGGTCCCTTCAGTCCACAGGCTGATGCTTTATCCACTGAGCCAAACCAGCTAGGGCAAAAGCATGTACATCTTAAACTTTAATAGATACTGTCAAATTAGCATTCACATAGCCTAAATTCTCATTTTTTTCAGTATACTGGTTATTAGGATAGTTTAATGACTCTTTAAAAATTGCTCTTTAGTGTAATTTGATTTTTTTTTCATTTCTTTTATTT